GTTAAATTAATTTTATATATTTGCATTGGGTATTTCATCCAAATATTTTGAAGCTTCTTCTTACTTCATTAAAAAAACATTTTAAAATTAATAACTTATTCTCTTTCCTCACTTACTTGATAATAGACACTTGATTTTCTCCATATGGAATTAAAGAGGCCATTGAAAGCAAGTGGGGCAGACACCTGCCTGGGCAGGAGCCACTGCATGCTAAATGCATGGAACACTAGTTTGTTTGTTTCTTTTCCTTCCTTCCTTCCCTCCCTTCCTTCCTTCCTTCCTTTCTTCCTTCCTTCCTTCCTCCTTCCTTCCTTCCTTCCTTCCTTCCTTCCTTCCTTCCTTCCTTTCTCTCTCTCTCTTTCTTTCTTTTTCTTTCTTTCCTTCCTTCCTCCCTTCTTTCTTTCTTTTCTTTCTCTCTCTCTTTCTTTCTTTCCTTCTCTATCTCTCTCTCTCCATTCCCTCCCCTTCCCTCCCCTCCCCTCCCCTCACCTCTCCTCCCCTTCCCTTCTCTTCCTTTCCTTTCCCTTCCTTCTCTGTCACCCAGGCTGGAGTGCAGTGGCATGATCATGGTTCACTGCAGCCTCAACTTCTGGACTCAATCAATTCTCCCACCTTTGCCTCCTGAGAAGCTGGGACCACAGGCATACACCACCACGCCAGGCTAATTTTTAAAACATGTTTTTAGAGACAGGGTCTCTTTATTTCACCCAGGCTGGTTTCCAGCTCCTGGGCTCAGGCATTCCTCCTGCCTTGGGCTCCCAAAGTACTAGGTTTATAGTCATGAGCCACCATGCCTGGCCTAAGAATGGTTTCTGAAGTATGATTCCTCAGACCAGCTCAGCATGCAGATTCTAAGTGTTCACACTACACTTACTGAATCAGAAACTCTGGAGGTGGAGTTCAGAAAACTGGGTTTTAATAGGTTCTTTGTGTAACTCTGATGCAATACTGAAGTTTAAGAGTCACTGGCATAGGACATTAGAAACGAAATCTTCCTATTTTATAGTTGAGGATTCCACAGAGGAATAACAAAAACATTGAAGGAGACTGGTATGTAAAGCATTGCTAATTTAATTAAATGAAGTTAAGGAGGTTTATTTTTGAAGACTGAGGAATTCTGCTTGGGTCCCCTCTTTTATCCCCCCTTTTAAGTTCAGCCATTTTGAAAAACCAAAGATCTCCATGAGACTTATCAAGCCTTAAGAGCTTGGATAGCACAGGTGCATGAGCTCAATGAAGGCTTAACCACATCCCCAGCACTCCTAAACCTGAGCTCCTGAGTCTGTGGGTGGCCTCTATTTGGAGTGTCTAGAACCTCTCCAGTGTCCTTGCACATGCTGTTCTTCCTAGAACTCCCTTTCTTCACGTTCTCACTTGCAAATTTCTACTCATCCTTCAAGTCTTCACGTTGGCATCATCATCTCTATATACTCTTCACCCAGGTGAAGAGAGGTGCTCACATCCTGTGTTCCTCAGCACTTTGTATAGCTTTCTATATTATTTTGCTTATCCCACAATATTATAATTTATCCATCTCTCTCTCCACTAGTTCTCTGAGGAAAAGAATGGTTTCTTTTAATCTGTTATTTCTAGCACCTGACTTTTTGTCTGGCAAACAATAAACACTCAGTAAAAAGTTGCAAATGTATTGCAATGCTTTATTCCTTTCTCTATGAATGATTGTAATTTTGCTGAGCATTTGAGGGTTAGTTGCTGATAGTAAGGCCCTTTGCTCCATAATGCATCAGTGTGTATTTTTAAATAAGAAGGACATTCTCTTACATAACTACAATACAATAATCAAAGTCATTACATTTAACATTGATACGGTATTTTTTTGAGAGAGGGTCTCACTCTGTTGCCCAGGCTGGAGTGCAGTGGCATGATCACTGCAGCCTCAACCTCCTGGGCTGAAGCAACTCTTCCACCTCAGTCTCCTGAGTAGCTGGGTCTACAGGCGTGCACCATCACGCCCAGCTAAAATTTTTTGTATTTTTTTTTTTTTTGTAGAAACGGGTTTCTCCATGACATTGATACAGTGTTATTATATAATATTCAGCCCATATTAACATTTTGTCTACTGTCTCATTCAATGGCCTTTATAACATTTTTTTTTCCCAAATCAGGATCATGAATTGCTTTTGTCATGTCTCTTGGGACTCCTGTAATCTGAATCAATTCCTTTGCTTTGTCTTTCATGACATTAATATTTTTGAGAAGCACAGGCCAGTTATTTTTTAGGCTAACCTCAAGTTTTGGTTAATGTGACTGTTTTCTCATTATCAGATTTAGGTCATGGATTTTAAGGAGAAATACTATGTAAGTGATGTTAAGTTTTCTCATTCATAACATCAGGAGTTACGTGATGTTGGTTTATCCTATTATTATTGATGTAATTGATCACTTGGTTAAGTCATGTCCATCAGCCTTCTCCATTGTAATGGTACTTTTTTGCCCTTTGTAATTTATAAGTAATTTTTCTGAAGATACTTTGAAAATGTATTCATATTCTGTTACCTAACAAACTTTTACCCAATGGTTTTAGCAATCTCTGATGATTCCTCCTGAGTCAATTGCTATTCCGGTAGTTGCAAAGTAATTTTTAAACTGAATAAATGAATCTTAAAAAGTAGAGTATTACGGTTAACTATCTGAGGAATATCTTTTCTATTGCAAAACTATTGGAGTTGGAGTTATTTCCAGAAAGAATCCATATTCTATGCTATCCCTATCTAATTGCATTTCATTTAATGGCTTTATTTCTTGCCTCCATGAGGAGCCCATGTGTTCAAATGCAAAATCTCTTCAGCAGCTTAAATCAGATATAAAAATCTTAGTGAAATAGTACATATCATGTAGATATTAAGTCCTTAATACATAGATATTTAACTCTTCATTGATATAACACAGACATGCACCACTGTAGTATGTTTACAACTGTTTATAAATGTTTATCATTTTGACTTTCCCACTAGAGTTTCATAAACAGCTCTAGTGCTTTATTTATAATTAACTAAAAATGCTTATTTTTTAACGACTAATTGCAAGGATAGTAATAATTGGGACATGATGGAAAATGAAAATGTAGACATAATATCTATATTTAGGTTTTACATAATAGAACTTTTACTTAAAAATTTTAGTTTTCCACTAAATTAACCAAAGTGTTTCAAAATTGGAAGTGTAATATTTTATTGCATTGATGATGATGATACATTAATTTATTTTGGATTACTTTTTGTACCTTCAGACTCTCAAGCCCTTTACCCTCATACAGTTCTTAATTCATTAGAGAAATCTATTCTTTATGATGCATGCATTAGTTTTTTTACCCTTGGGTAAAAGTTTATTGGAGGATAGGATATCTAAAGTCTTAAAGTATCTTTCCTTGAATTGCTTATACACCTCCTGGAGGAGGCACTAGTGGGAGGTTACGTAGAAACTGAGGAACAGAGGAATCTAGTTATAGCACATCTATCTACTGGAAAAACACTGGACTAATTCCCTGGGAGATGTTTGTAATATAGTGGCCAATATAGTAGTTGGCTCAAATCAGCGCTAAGCCCTCTAGACTCATCACATAAAGCCTGAAAAGTGAAAGAGCTTGCTCAAGTCTGCAGAGCAAATAGCCAAGCTTAAACCAGAATCAAGGCCTATGGGCTTCCTTTAAAGTCGAGACTTCTCCCAGTATTTTGTGTTGGTGTAAATAATAAAGGAAATAAAATAAATGTGGTTATCTCAGAGTTTTGAATCAACAGTAGATATGTGTTTTTAGGGAGTTGAGGTGGTTACTCTTAACACTTTCTGGAAAGAGAAATGGAGCTGTTAGGTGTCTGTTATTTCTGGGTGTTGTGATGATCACTTCCATACAATATTCTATTTAAAGAACCCAAGACTAGAAAGTGATTTAGACATGGTAGAGATTCTTGCTTAAACTCTTTGGTTTGTTTAAGAATGTGCTTTAACTATTCACAATAGCAAAGACATGGAGGAGTCCTTTTTAACTTTTACATATTGGGGCTCCGAGAAGGTTTATTTTATTTAAAAAACACCTAAAGAGTGCTTTCTATGTGCCAAGAATGGGTAAAATATTTTACAATAACAAACTCTATCCTGATAACACTATAAGGTAGGTGCTATTATTGCCCCTATTTTATAAATGGGGAAACCAAGGCACAGAAAAGTGAGGCAATTTACCTAAGATCCACTATTAAGTAGTGGATCAAGAGTCAAGCCCAGGCAGTCTGTCTCCAATAGTCTGCTTTTTAACCACATACATTCTGCTGAAAACAGCTGTGAGCTTGGCTGGCTAAGAATAGAAAGATGAGGTATCCCCTGTTCCACTTGGAACCTCTCATTCAATGGGATTAACATGTTCTTAGTTTTAAAGAAATGGACTTTCTTAGAGTAAAAAAATAGAAATGGAATTGAGAGTAGACAATTTCCGTGGATCCCTTTGTAAATGGTTTTAAGCTTTGGGGAGGGAGGTCCGATGTTCTGCTTTATTTATTTATTTTTTGAGGATGTATGAGATATTTTCCGACTAGGCTGATTTGACCAGGCAGATGTGCTCCTGAGATATCTGCATATTTTAGCATGCCACAAATGTTTATCAGGTCATCCCACTCTTATATAAATATATAAACAAAATCATTCAGAAATGTTTATGACCCACCAAATGAATGCCATGGGTGAAATGGAAGTTCTATGCCATGTCCTGTATGCTTTCTCCTTTTATAGCCACATCTGGACAACTTTAAATAGTGAAGTCTGAGGTGTACACTCTGGGTGTTTACAAAATTCTTCCAGAGTTGGCTTAGCAAGACCATTTTCCCTGCACAAGTGAAACCATGTGGCAACATGTGGGGAAAGACATCCTTATACTTTTTAAAAAAATCAACTTTATGAGGTTTAATTTATATTCAATGTGATGGACACATTTTAAGTGCATGAAGGCACATTTTTAAATTACAAGGTTTCCTTTTTTTTTTTTTCTCTAGGTCCACATCTAGAATGGAGGCGTGGAAGACATTTTGGGGGATCATCCTCCTTGAAGCTGGTTTTGGCTTCATCAAGTCACAGAGGATCGGTAATATATGCCATTCTTTAAGCCGAAAACCATCTAGTGGTAGTGACCATCTTAAAAGGAAATATTACAGAAGCTTTAATTAATAAGAGGGAATCGATTCATTGAAGGAGAATTTAGTCAAAATCTGGGAGCTTATAGTGAATGGTGGGCACTTGTTTTTTCAGTACCTAACCCCAAATGACAACAAAAAATACATATTAAAAAGTTCCAAACTCTGAAGTGTGTTACTAGGTTCTCAAACGCTTTTGTAAACAGGAGCCTCTTCTGCATTCTGCCTTTTCTCTTTGGCAGAGCTGTTCTGAGGGGTAATTATCGTCACAAGACCGATCGCTTCACTGAGTGCGAGTGGCACATCTGCAATTTTTTGCAGTTATTTTAATGGATTGTTGGGACTTTTCAAGATGAAAGTCTCATCAGGCGAAGATTGTTTGAGTAGCATGAAGTCCCAGTGAGACAATATTGAGGTTTAAATATTCAAATATAATTACACAGGCTGTTATTTGTTGGGAAAAAAAAAACCGATGAAGCTCTCTCAGTTTTCCTTTTAGCTCTCTTCACTTGTGAACAGAAGCTGTGACAGTCTTTTCATGATTCAAACACCTTCTAAAACTACAAAGAACTAGTGGAGGGGTTAAGAAAGTGACAATCTATGAAAATGCAATACATCCCTCAAGTTGCATGTGATGAAACTGAAATTTACTTGCCTGAAAAATATTCTACAGCTGTATGGTTTCTTCTGATTTGAAAGGTCAGGGAAATACTTCCTGGTTTGCATTTGATCACCCTTGAAAGAGATGTTAAGGGTTGTGATAAGCCAGTCAGCCATTCCTGTAACAGTCATTGAATTCTCTCCTCCCAGTAAGACTGCATTTTGGAGGACTGAAGGGAAATAAAGCTTAAAGGACCAGAAGTTCATTTATTGTCTGCTTTTTCCATGATCAGGTTCCACTTGGCTTTATGACCAAGGTTATGCAAACTTCTGAGAGGTGGAACCCAGGACTCCAGAAGTGACAAGTGGATTAAGTGCTCCAACCTCCCCAAGTCCTCTCTGTCCAGACTCTCACTTGGTCTTTGCCTTTCTGTAGTATGGATTTCTAATTTAATCTTCATGGCAGTTCAGGGTATAGACTAGTTATCAGGAGAACTGGGTCTTAATTCTGGCTCTTTGAATGGATTTACATGAGTTACTTTGCCTTTCCAGGTCTTATTATCCTTCTCTGTGAGATGACTGAATTGGATTTGTTATTTTATGCTTGTGCTGTCCAATACAGTGGCCACCAGCTGCATGTGACTCTCTAAAGTAAATCAAAATTCAGTAAAATGTCAAGTTCAGTTTCTGTTATGCTAGCTACATTTCAAGTGCTCAGTTGCCACACATCTAGCAGCTACAGTCTCATATAATTATTTCTAGCACTAAAATTTAAATTCCATTATTTGTTTTCATTAATGTTCAAGATTTCCATCCTTATAAGTGCTGTCTCTTTCCTTCTTCCCTTTTCCTCTATTCTTTCCTCCCTCAATATTTTTGGGTATCTATTCTATGCTAGCTACTTATGTAGTGAAAAAACGAACAAAATATATGGTTATCTGTTCTCATGGACCTCACAGTCTAGTTGGGGAAATTGCCATTAATTAAATAAGCATAGTGATGAACAAAGTTACATTATAAACAAAGACAAAGGAACATGATCCTATGACAATTTACCAAAAGATAGATAGATAGAGAAACTTGGAGAGAAGAAAGAATATTAAAATCCAGTGGCAAGTAAGAACATGGAAAGTTGGAGACATTGCCCTAGGGAGCCTGGAACTGAGAGCAAAGTGGGGAGGGCAGAGAGCTGAGGCTGCAGAGACAGTGCAGGGCCAGCCTCGTTCGGTATTTTAACCCTCCTGGCACAAAACCAAGGGCAAGACACTTTTAACCAATGTGGAATAATCATTTTTTTTTTTTGGCTTTTCAGCTACTCTGAACTAAAGCCCATTTTTCTGTTGGTTTCTGCTTTTGTTTGTATTCTCATTAGTAATTTATATCCTCCTCCCGCCATCATAGTTAATCAAAGCAGGAGGTATGGGAGTGGGGAGAAATCGTAGTGATTGCTGACAAATAGATCGATCATAATCACCTCTTCTTTGTATCTACATATGCCCTGTACTTACTCCACATTGTACGTATTATCACAGAAAAGCAAAGTTTGAGTTGGAAGAGACCAGGGCATCTGGTAAACTCTTTAGAGAGATGCAATTTGAGAGACAGAGGGTTAGAAATTTGCTCGACTCCTGCAGCCACTTGGTGTCTGATCTCTTCCATGCTGGAGGCCAGGATGGGCCCAGGTGGGGTACAAATGAGCCGGGTCACTGTTGAGATGGTGGTTTCCAGGCTTGTAGCTGGGGTTGGGGAGAAGTAGCTACATAGTGCAGGTTGAGTTCAGGGAGCCAAAAAGACAAATGTGAACCACACCTATAGGAATGCCAAGGATCAAACTAAAAGGGGCTGGTGGTGGCTAGTGAGTACAGAAATCAAAGCTGGAAGGCTGATGTCATAGGTCAGATTCCCTGGAAGCAGAATCTGGGACACGGATTTGAGTGCATTATTTTGAGAAAGTACTCTTTAGGAAAAAAAATCTGTAAGGGAGTAAGAGAAGTGGGTTAGAGTAGGGGATGAAGACAATAGGTAAAGTCAAGCCTTGGCCTGAGTCATGAGAGGTGATGGAGTGTAAATAACACGGCGGCGTTTTTCACTTAAGGCAAGTGGGCCAGGCGTTTGTACCTCCATGTTGATTAGTCACTGGCCACCCAGGGTGGTGGTAGTGCTGTAACTTCCCAGGTGTGTCCAGTTGAGGCCACTCCCTTCAGCCAAGGTTAGGACTCGAAAAAGTCACAGGTAGCACTTGAAGCAGCTGGGGGATAGGTGTGCCAACCAGTAAAGGCGATCTAGGTGGGTGCCGACAGCATCCACTGCTGGTAGAAAGCTGGGTTCTTTTATTTAGGTCAAGGGATGAGTGGAGAGCAGGGTGGGTGATCTAATTGAAGGGCCAAATGTTGATTAGAATGGAACAGAGTGGCAGGTGAGCAAGGGAAGGTGGTAGCCATGGGACGACAAGGGAAGATGATGGTGTGTCTAGGTGGCATGCATATTGACTACCATAGGATGGCTGTGAGGCAGATCTGTGGGGAGTAAAGGCACTGAGTCAGGAAAGAGGGGATTCCAGCCAGTAGCTGTCATTTGTGATGTTTTATTTGAAAGTGACTCTCTTTCCCAGTTTGCAGGGAGGCCTCTCTGGGAGATGTTGTGTTTCTGGTGGACACCAGCATCAACCCCCAACATACACGCAGTGTGCGGAACTTCTTGTACATTCTGGTAAACAGCTTCAATGTCAGCAGCGAGACCATCCGTGTGGGTCTTGTTCAGTACAGCGATGTGCCCCATTCCGAGTTCTTGCTTTCCACCTACCACCGTAAGAATGATGTATTGAGACACATTCGGCAATTTCAATTTAAGCCTGGGGGCAAGAAGATGGGCCTGGCCCTGCAGTTCATTCTAGATCACCACTTCCAGGAAGCAGCAGGGAGCCGAGCAAGCCAAGGTGTACCTCAGATCGCCGTGGTGATAAGCAGTGGGCCAGCTGAGGACCATGTCCACATACCTGGGGAGGCACTGAGGCTGGCAGGCATCCTGGTTTATGCTGTTGGCGTCAAAGATGCAGTTGGGGCAGAGCTCAGGAAAATTGCCAGTAGCCCCCAGGAGAACTTTACCTCCTTTGTTCCCAACTTCTCTGGTCTGAGTAGTCTCGCCCAGAAGCTGCGGCAGGAGGTCTGCGATACCTTGGCAAAGGCAGCTCCACGTGTTGACCACATCTCTCCAGGTACAAAGGCCTTTTAAAAAAAATTTCTGATCTGGAAGTCATGAAACTCAAAGCTTGACCTCCTATTCCTCTCTCCCCCGTCCTTCTTATTTTTCATATGTGTGCATGTCTTAATTTTAAAATCGAAATTTCATGAAGCCATCCCTATGCTCCTTTTCAATCACTGACCAAAGCCTCATCAGCTCTTTTTGTAAATCCTGTGGCCCTTATGCTGGTTCTATATACTGATGTAATATAAGTCCAGTATTGAATGAACATTTATCTTTTTCTAGAATGACATTATTATTCTTAGGTTAACTTACCCATGTTGCTTGGATGAAGGATGGGGGAAGGGAGAGGGACAGTAGTTCTCCTAGGATGTTTGCTAATTTAACTGGAAGCCTGTTGGTTTAATATACTGGTCAAGATGATGAATTTAAGGAAAATAAAGACCTGTGTTCAAATCTCAGAAAGTAGAGAAATGTTCATCTTAGTCAAGTTACTTTACCTCTCTGAATCTAAACTTTCTTCCTAGGATGATAGTACTTGTTCAGAGAGTTGTTAAAAGCATTAAACAAAATTGTGCAAGTAAAGTGCATGGCACAGGACCTGGCCAACCACAGGTGCTCATAAGCATTACCTGTTATTAATGGTCGTAACCTGTGATGATGATATATCTGTCATCAACTTTGTGCTTCTATTGGTGATAGGGCATAAAATGGTGAAAATTCTTTATCAATTAATTACTAAACTCCATAATAAAGCATACGACTTTGAGTAGAGAAAGAGAAGAATGCTTGTGGGCTCCATCAAAACCCACAAGAGGATAGACTCTTAATAATTTATTCATTGTTTTGGTATTTCTGTACAGGGTAGGTTAATTGGAAGAAGCACTAAAACTTTTGACTCATTGATGCAGCAGGTGTGTGGTGGTAATATTGCATTTGTATGGGGAAATAAATATTATAGATATTCATTTTGCACAACACTTCAAGGTTTACAAAGAGGTTTTATAAGCATAGTAATAATTGTGACTGTTTGCCTGGTGTTGTATAGTTTTCAAAGCTGATTTATATTGCTCATCTGACTGATCATTTCAACTTTGTTAAATACATAGGGTAATTAGTATTATTGCTTGAATTTTTCAGATGAGAAAACTGAAGCCAAAGGTAGCATGAGTGGATGACAGAACTGGAGACTTGATCTCAGATCTTTTTTTTTTTTTGAGATGGAGTTTTGCTCTTGTTACCCCGGCTGGAGTGCAATGGCGCGATCTCGGCTCACCACAACCTCCGCCTCCTGGGTTCAGGCAATTCTCCTGCCTCAGCCTCCTGAGTAGCTGGGATTACAGGCACGCACCACCATGCCCAGCTAATGTTTTGTATTTTTAGTAGAGACGGGGTTTCACCATGTTGACCAGGATGGTCTTGATCTCTTGACCTCGTGATTGACCCGCGTTGGCCTCCCAAAGTGCTGGGATTACAGGCTTGAGCCACCGCGCCCGGCGATCTCAGATCTTTTAGAGCAGACTCATTTCATTAGAGCAGGCGTGTTAAGTTGTATTCCTGGGGAGCAGAGCCTGAAACAAGAATTTGGGTACACTTGATTTGCTAAGGAAGAGCTCCTGGGGGGATGGTCAGTAAGGATGTGGGGTATTCAGGACAGAGAAGTAGAGAAAAATAAGGAAGGGCATAATTTCAGGTAAAAATTCTGTAAAGGGTTTCAGCCTGATGCTACAGGGGAACTTGGTGTACATTATGCGTCAAAGTTGTCTTGAGCTGGGATCTGGGCCAAGCAAAGATCTGGGCTTTTAAATATTGTGAGAAAAGTAGCTTCAGTAGCTGGAGGGAAGTTTTCCAAAGAGCAGTACGTAGAATGGTAAAAAAGAAATCCAAAAGGACTGAGCAGCGCATGACATTGTCTGCTACAGGAGATTATCTTATTTTTATCCTCAAAACAACCTTGTGAGAGTATGAGGGCTGGTGTAAAGATGTCAGTGCTGCAGAGGAGAAAATTAAGTCTCAAAGAGGTGAGTGATAAATAGGTCACAGGGCTATTAAATGACAGAGTTGCAGTAAGATGTGTCAAGGAACATGGAATATATTCCAACTTTCTGACCTGCTGGTGCTAGCACACTCCTAGATACGATGTTTCTTTGTCAAAAGATAGGAGGCTGATGGCTTTTTCTGACTGAAAAGAATACATTCCCTTTCTTAGCATGCTGCTTAATTTACAGAAGTGCTTTTCTTGTTAACAAAATTTAAGGGATTGTGTAAGTGGATTTCAAGGTTGGAAGTAGCAGTAGAGCAGGTCTGAAATCTCAGAAGGTGATGCAGCAGAGAGAAGCAAAGGTACAGGGGGATGTTAATGTTATTGCTGTGAGCACACTGCCACTTGGGGTGAGGGTAGTGTCTGAGGACCACTGAGTATAGTGGTTATTTTTCTTTTATGCATTATTCTTCTTTTATGCATTAGTTACTTTTCTTTTATGTATTCTTCTTCTTTTACACATTGGTTCCAAACAGTTTAAACCATTGGTTCAATGGTTCAAAGCATTTTGTGTGAAGACCCAGTAATTGCATCCCTTTTGCTGCCTCTCTCATAGCTTGCAGAGAAGGCGCTGTGGCAGATGTGGTGTTTCTAGTAGACAGTTCAACTAGCATTGGACCCCAGAACTTCCAAAAAGTCAAGAACTTCCTTTACTCCGTCGTCTCGGGGCTCGACATCAGCAGTGACCGTGTCCGAGTGGGACTTGCCCAGTATAATGACAACATCTACCCAGCCTTCCAGCTGAACCCTCTGAAGAGCATGGTCTTGGAGCAGATCCAGAATCTGCCGTACCGCACAGGAGGCACAAACACAGGGAATGCTCTGGACTTTATCCGGACCAACTATTTGACTGAGGGGTCTGGCAGTCGGGCCAAGGACAGAGTTTCTCAGATAGTTATCCTGGTGACAGATGGGGAGTCAAATGATGAGGTCCAGGAGGCGGCTGACCGGTTGAAAGAAGATGGAGTTGTTGTGTATGTGGTAGGGATCAATGTCCAGGATGTCCAAGAGTTGCAAAAAATAGCCAGTGAGCCATTTGAGAAGTTTCTCTTCAACATCGAAAACTTCAACATCCTGCAGGATTTTTCAGGAAGTATTCTTCAGACTCTGTGCTCAGCAGTGGAGGGGAAGATAAAAGGTAAGAAGCTGTGTTAGAACCCAGGATTCTAACTGTGTCAGCTCACTACAATGTAAGCCAGAATACACTGGGTGTATGGGAGGGCAAGGAGAAGGAATGCCCAGCGTCACTGGAGAACCTGGGGAGACTTCCTAGGGGAAGGGTTTGAAGGCTGGATGGAATTCTTGTGGGTAGAAAGGAACATCTTGATATGGTGTTCAAAGGAAACAGCATGTGTTTTGAAAGCCAGAAGACCTGTTTTTTAATCTTGTCTTTGCCACTTTCTAGTTATGTGAGCAGGGACAAGGGCTTCACTTTTTTACTTCAATTTTCTCATCTGCATGATGAAAATAATACTTGTCCAGAAGAATGGTTTATGAAGATTAAGTCAGATAGAGTGTATAAAAAGCTTTGGCTGGGTGTGGTGGCTAGTGCCTATAATCCCAGCAGTTTGGGAGGCCAAGGTGGGTAGATCACCTGAGATCAGGAGTTTGAGACTAGCCTGGCCAACATGGTGAAACCTCTTTACTACTAAAAATACAAAAATTAGCCGGCATGGTGGCACATGCCTGTAATCCTAGCTACTTGGGAGGCTGAGGCAGAAGAATCACCTGAGCCCAGGTGGCAGAGGTTGTGGTGAGCTGAGGTTATAGTGAGCCAAGATTGCACCATTGCACTCTAGCCTGAGCAACAGAGTTAGACTCCGTTTCAAAAAAAAAAAAAAAAGCTCTAGCACAAAGTGTATCCTCAGTAGTAGTTAACTTCCCTTGCCTCCTCTATCGGTTGAAGAAGAATAATTGAAAAGTATATTAGTGTAATTAAACAGACAAGAAGGCAGCAGGTTATAAGAGAGGAAGAGCCTTGTGATAGAGTCCCACATAGAGGAAAGGAAGCACAATATATACAGAGTGTATAAATACAGTATCTCTCCCTCCCACATTGTGCACACAAAACCATCCTTATATTCAATTTTCATGAGAGTTCAGTTTGATTTACTTTCCCTTTTGTGTCTTTTTCTGCCCCTCTGGTCTCCCTTTTCCTTTACTTCCAGAATTCATCAAAGCCTACGCAGATGTGGTCTTTCTTGCTGACACCTCACAGGGCACATCACAGACCAGTTTCCAGTGGATACAGAATTTCCTCTCCAGAGTGGTTGGCATGTTGGAGGTTGGCAGGGACAAGTATCAGATTGGGCTGGCTCAGTATGGTGATCAAGGTCACACTGAGTTTTTGCTCAATACCTACAAGACCCAGAATGAGATGATAGCTCATATTCATGAACGTTTTGTGCCCCTGGCTGGCTCCAGGAGGACAGGCAAAGCACTGCAATACCTTCTTCAGACCTTCTTCCAGGAGGAAGCAGGAAGCCGTTTTCTCCAGGGCATTCCCCAGTATGCAGTGGTCATTACCTCAGGCAAATCTAAAGATGAAGTCCAGGATGCTGCACAGAGACTAAGGGAGAAAGGCGTGAAAGTTATGTCTGTCGGTGTGCAGGACTTTGACAGGAGAGAATTGGAAGGGATGGGGTCCCCAGACCTTGTGTACGATATGCAGGGAGAAGACAGAGTCAGACACGTGGTGGAAGATATGAATGTGGTGATCCAAGGGACTGGACAGCGGGAGCACAGGAATACAGCCAACAAGGAGGCTGTAGGAGGTAAGGTTTGGTCCTAGGATATGTGAGCCTCTAGGAGATCTCAGCGTAAAAGGAAAGTCTAGGGAAGTAGCAGAGAAGGCAAGTATTCCGGATTTCTCAGTGCTGGGGCACAAGCACTGGCAGACAGGAGACAGTGGGAAGCATGGGGTGCCTCAGACACAATCTTGTGTTAGTTAACTATGGTCACAATGCTGATGTGGTCTGGGTGTGTGAAAAGCCAGTGGCTGAAAAGAATTGTTTATTTTCATAGATCAGTTGATGAACAGCCAATCTTGGCTGGGCCCAAACAAATGGCTTTGCTGATATTGTCTGAGCTCATTCGCATATTTGGGATTCGGCTGGGTGTTGGTTGATCCAGGTTTGGCCCTGCTCCACATATCTCTCATCTTATTCCTGGGATCAGCAGGGTAGTCTGGGCATATTCTTCTCATGGTAATTGAAGAGATACCAGAGAGAAAAGCAATTACATAAGCATTTCTCAAACCTCAGCTGCATCATCTGCTAACATTTCATTGGCTCAAGCAAGTCATATAGCTATGCTGACATCAACAGAGTAGAGAAGTTTATCTTCCCATGGAAATAAGGAGTAAGGAGATAATATTTCTGAGTAAGAATCTAAATTACCATAGCACTCAGGCTTCTCCCCAAAGATTAAATAAATTACTTCCTGATGTTGGCATCCAAGACACTCAAGGGAGATACTATTGGCGTTTTGGGTAGGACAATTCATAGTGTAGAATTGTCCTGTGCATTGCCAGAGGTTTAATATCCCTAGTTTCTGCCAGTAGCACCCCTGAATCATTATGGTAATCCAAAACATCCCATACATTTCCAATATGTCCCAGGGAGATAGGTATTGTTGGCTGAGAACCACTGGGCCTTATCTCTGCTATGTCTTTGTACACATTCTATTCACTGGCCAAGCTGAACTACTCATCATTTGCTGTGTGTATACTATGCATTCTCATCTCTGTCTCTCCTCTTGAATACATCATAATATCAGCCTGTGACACCCACAGTCAAAACTTACCCTTCAGTTCTTAAGTTACCCTCTTCATGAAGCATCTTTTGAGTACCACCACCAGAAGTGGCCAATTTTTCCTTTCTCTGAATTGTCATACCTCTGCCAGACCTATCAACATCTAAAGCGTGGGGGTCCTTGGAATTTTATGAGCAGAAAAAAGACAAACATATATGTGACAAGAAGAGGAAAATCCAAGCAGAGGTAATAAGGAATTAAGAAGCACTTTATGGGGATGCTACATTAAGCAGAGATAGATGGTACAAAAAAAGGGCACTCTAGAGGATGTGGCCTCAAAGGAATTGTGCTGGTACCTCAGTAATAGGCGTTATTTTAATATACAGGAGGAGGAGGAGGGTACTCTGAGTAAGGAGAAGGGCCAGGTAAGGGGTCTACACTCCCGGTAAGGGTGCGGAAATGGGAATGGTCTGGATGAGTGTGGAAGAAAATTTAAAAACTGAGCCAGTGTGGGTCAGTGGAAGAGTACAGAAGTAGTGAGAGATGAGATTGGTCTAGATAGGTTAAACCCTGACTACAGGATCTCAAAGACACTAGAAGTAATTGGTGGGCAGCTTTTAAGCAGAAAAAATGACATGACCAAAGTAATCTTTAAGGAAACCTTCAGTGGGCAGACTGGGTGGCAAATGGCACCTCAGACTCAGAAGGACTTTAAGGCCAAGCTGTCATCTGGCCACATGGAGAAGATGACTGGGCTCAGCCCAAGGGTAGCTCTAATAATGAGGAAAAGGAAAGAATCCTGAAGACAATTTGAAAGGAGAATAACAGCACTTGGTACAAGAGGGTGAGAGAAGGGAGATGTCAAAGATGTGTGGAGTTTCTAGAGAGGGTGTTTTAGACTTGCTAAAATCAGGAACAACACCCTCTTCTAAAATCTAGGATTGAATTTTGATTCTTTATAAAAAAGGACCACAGGGGAAATTTCAGGACACCAAGAGAAAAAAGAGGACATTAAAAGGTTATTCTGTTGCCCCTAAACCTTGTTTTATAACATTCAGTTGTTTACATGGTGGTTTCAAGCTTTCTGCATGTGTGGTTTTGGCTCTCTGCTACGGAGATTTCCTGCTTTGATATATCAAAGCAGATCTGGACCTCAACACTATGTGGACACAGTGGGTTTCCTGCAATAGGTACTGTCTCAAATAGAGTTTATGTTTTATTCCTTAATTTGAGGCAAGTGGAAGAGAAGGCTCTTTTGTAGCAAAATGAAACAGCTAGCTAGCCTAATATTTGGTTAAAGATTTTTCATAGAAATTTGCAACATTTCAGGCTGCCCCTGTTAAAATGACATGACATTGATCAGAGAAAGATTTAGAAATTAACAGCCACAATTAATTTTCATCTTTTTGGGAAGTTTCAGGCCTATAAGAGAATTTGACCCAGTCTCTTGAAATTAGAAAAATGAAGAAAAACTAGTCAAGACTCAGATGCTTCTGGTGGACTTAGATAAATTGAAAAGCAATCTTGAAGCACATTTTTTTTGTTGATATTCATATATTTAAATATTTTGAAAGTGATATGAAATACTCTTCCACATGAGAATTTCTGAAATAGGCATGAACCCTGTGATGTTCTTTGACCATCATGCCAAATAAAGGCTTTGATGAAATTCTAAGGTGTATAAATATAAGTTCATATGATATATATTATTATAATTGTAATAATAAATATGTATGTGATATATAAAATACATCATAATGCAGCTTTTATATATTAATCTTGTCTTTATTATTCTGTTCTTATGCTAAAGCCCTTCTTTCTGATTTTGTTTGTTTGCAGCATGTGCAATTGCTATACCGGCTGACTTAGTATTCCTCATTGAGGAATTTAGCAGGGTTAGGCAACCCAATTTCCAACAAGTTGTCAATTTCCTAAAGACCATTGTCAGTTCTCTAAGCATTCTTCCTGATGCTGTGAGATTTGGCTTGGTCTTCTACAGCGAGGAATCACGACTTGAATTTTCACTGGATACATTTCGGAATCCAGCTGAAATCTTGGAGCATTTGGACAAATTAACCTACCGTGAAAGAAGAGGAAGGACGAAGACTGGTGCTGCATTAGATTTCCTGAGGAATGAGGTTTTCATTCCGGAGAAGGGTAGCCGGTCCAGCCACGGCGTGCAGCAGATAGCTGTGGTCATCACGGAAAACGTCTCCCAAGACAGTATCTTTGGACCTGCTTCTCGCCTCCGAAGAGCAGGGGTCACCATCTATGCAGTGGGCACCCAGGATGTCTCAGAGAGTAAGGACCTGGAGAAGATGGCATCATATCCTCCTTGGAAGCATTCAGTCCCCCTGGAATCCTTTTTGCAGCTCTCCATAGTAGGAAGCAAGCTTATGAACCAGCTCTGCCCTGAGATTGTGCACCGTCAAGTTTCTGTTAGTGGGACGAGCTATCCCGTACAGGAAGGTAGGAGGGTCTTTTCCAAATTTGACATTTTTAAACAAAAAACCTTTCTTAAGTTTTTTAGTTGCTCCATGTACCTATATCCTCTATCCTCCAACAAAGAAAAGATTTTGAAGTCAATTCATTAAAAAAACAGGAACAGAAATGTATAAAAACTTTATCTTGATGCCAAACAATGCAGGAGACTAGAAGTGAAAAGGCAATATTTCTAGCACCTCCTATCTTATCCTTCATCCCTTTAAAAATATATACAAATTTTACTTTTTTTTTTAAAGATAGGATCTTGCTCTTTCACCCCGACTGGAGTGCAGTGGAGCAATTACAGCTCACTGTAACCTTGAACTCAAGAGATCCTCATGCCTCACCCTCCTAAGTAGCTTGGACTGCAGGGATGCACCCCCATACTCAGCTAATTTTAAGATATTTTGCAGAGCCAGGGTCTCATTATGTTGCTCAGGCTGGTCTCCAACTTCTGTCCTCAAGTGATCCATCCTCTTGGCCTCATAAAGCTGTGAAATTATGGGTGTGAGCCACCATGCCTCGCCCCCTTCTGTTTTAACAGTTTGATGAAGATATTTACAGTAGAAGCCCTAAGAAACCAAATTTGGCTTGATCAAATCTTAAGTCATTTAAGCAGACAACTACTATAAAAAGGATACAAACATACTTGAATTTTAAAAATTTTATTTATTTTTTCCTCAGAAACTATTGTTTCTCACATACTTGAAATAAAAAAAATTAATACATATAAATGAATGTTAATTTGCCAATCTTTTGGTATAGGGCCAAAGCTTCTTTGAGTATGAGCCCTGCTGATTGGATTTCATGTATTTTTTTAAATAAACAGTCCAATATTATGTTATATATAATTTCCAGTTTCAGTTTCCTTAAAGGGGAAAGACTTTTGAAACAATTCAAAACAGAAACAGAAATAACTATTGATTTTTATAATCTTAAAAATGAAATCTTTTGTAATGCTATCTAGTACACTGGCAAATTTTTTAAAAACAACTTTCTTTTATTGAGTCTTTCTGAAGCAGTTAACCTGGTTTTCATAGATGCAATAAACCTCTTTTAGTCATGCTCATATCCTATTGATTTGCATGTATTTGATTAATTATGTAATTATAACAACAAAACTGCCGTAAACAAGCTAGGGACAAACCTACCTTCATCTTGTTAAGCTTATTCTTCCAATGGGTGAAGTGGAACTTCAGGTTCTCAATGTTTTATAGGAGCATCACTCATGCTTTACAGAGGAAAGGGAGAACATTAGTTTACCTGGTAAGTTACTAAAGTAGAGTTTGGTCAGGAGAGTTCCTACTACATATGCAGTTTTTTTAAAAAAACATACACACCAGAAAAAACATAGTGGTTAAGTGTATGCACTTTGGCCTAGATTTGCCACTTACTCGCTGTTATGAAAATCTTTGTGTCTGTCGTCTTATCTATTTTTGTCTACCCATGCTAGTATTTCTTAGATTCAGATTAGAATCACAGATTTAAATTAGAATCGTTGAAATGTATGTAATTGAGGTAAAAATTCAAGGCTGTGATTATGTCTTCAAGGGAAAAATCACTGAGCTTCGTTTCTTGTTAAACAAATACTGAGTGATCTGGTAATTTCTTGATTACTTGTGCTGAGGCCTGGATTTGAAATATCTAAATAAATTCCTATCCTTCTCTTTGACCTATATTTTTAGTTCCTTTCTCTGTTCCGGAAATGAGAAACAAAATTGTTGAATATGAGTTTCATTTCCATGTGTGCTCCCTGCCTATATTCTGTAGATGAGAAGGAGGGAAGAGGAGCCCCGCTAGTTCACAGTATGAAGAGCTGAGGGTTGGTTTCTCTTTGAGACTGCAGAGAAGCTAGAAAGAAACTTGCAATCAGAAAAAGTAGCCCAAAGTCTAGAAGGGTGGGGGAAGGGGGTAGCCTAGAGGTAAATAGAAGCTGTGATAATTTTACCAGAATTTTGTCTTGGCTGATCACAATGATCATAATATCTACTATTTATTGGTCATTTGTCATATGTCAGATACTCTGCCAAGCATTTTATGTATATAATTGATGTGAATGCTCAGCAGCCTCCATACTGTAAGAAATATTCCCTTTCTCTTTTCCCCCAATATCTCCTTCTGCTAAGACTGACAAGAATGTACAGTGCAGGCAGTATTTAGAGCCGTCAGCTCCTCTTGACAATCCAAGGGCCCTGGACTATGGTGAAGCCTCCTTGGGCGGCTCCTGTAGTGAAGCCTCCTTGGGCTGGCTGCAGAGATGCCCTTTCCTGCACAGTGGTCCTTTTCTCTGATGCCAGACAGCCATCTACGTATCAGCAGTGGATGCTGGGTTCCAGCAAAGTTTGGGTTTTTGCCTTATTTTACCATAATCTGTCCTCTACTCTCCAGAATTTAGCAAATACTTACTGTGGGGTAAATGACTCCTTTCTCTACTTGCTCTAAGCTACACTCCTTTCCAATGCATGCCCCTCTAGGGTAGCACTGCCGGATGAAATATAGGACACTCAATTACATTTGAATTTCGTTCATATAAACAAGTTTTTTTGTAGTATAAGTATGCCCCATATATTGCATGGACCCAGGCCCTCCCACATGAAGACCTGAGCAGGGGAGCCCAATTCCTACCTCATACCACTTCCCTTTCAGCCAAGAAAATTAAAAGACTCTTCATGGGGTCAAGGGGATCCAGAGATTAATAACTCAAGCCTGGCCTGCCCTTATTGTGCCCTTGTTGAGAGGGAGTGGAGAAAAGTTTTTTTTTTTTAATCTGCTTGATGACAAAAATAAAACACCAGGTACTCTTAACCCTACATCTCTAATGCTGAACTCTGCTGTGTTTACATGATATTACTGTCTCTTTACAATAAGCTTATTGAGTAGGTGTCAACATCCTCATTTGATCGATCAGGAAACTGAGATGCAAGGAGGCCAAGCATGCTAGCAACCGAGGAGACAGGATTAAATGTAGAGCCACTTGCCCTGGGGGCTAGCTTTAACATAAGGTGACTCATTTAATTCAGACTCTTTTTAAAAAGAATTTCTTCTAAAAAGAAAAAAAAGCAGGATACATATACAGAATGTGCAGGTTTGTTACATAGGTATATATGTGCCATGGTGGTTTGCTGCACCTATTGACCTGTTCTCTAAGTTCCCTCCCTTCACCCCCGACCCCTCAACAGGCCCTGGTGTGTGTAGTCCCCCTCTTTGGGCCCATGTGTTCTCAATGTTCAACTCCCACTTATAAGTGAGAACATGTGGTGTTTGGTTTTCTGTTCTGGCGTTAGTTTGCTGAGGATGATGGCTTCCAGCTTCATCCGTGTCCCTGCAAAGGACATGAACTCATCCTTTTTTATGGCTGTGTAGTATTCTATAGTATATATGTGCCACATTTTCTTTATCCATTCTATCACTAATGGGCATTTGGGTTGGTGTAATGTCATTGTTATTGGAAATAGTATTGCAGTAAACATACATGTTCATGTGTCTTCATAGTAGAATGATTTATATTCCTTTGGGTATATACCCAGTAATGGGATTGCTGGGTCAAATGATATTTCTGGCTCTAGATCCTTGAGGAATCGCCATACTGTCTTCCACAATGGCTGAACCCATTTACATTTCCACCAACAGTGTAAAAGCGTTCCTGTTTCTTTATAGCCTTGGCAGCATGTGTTGTTTCCTAATTCAGGCTCATTTAATAGAGAATGTTTTAAATTAACTTAAGTCAAATTATTAAATTAAATTACATTTCAGGATGCACATGCTTTTGCCCATGTACTTAAAAATACAACTTGGATGGGAGACAGGAATAACAGAATCTGAGACAGTTCATAGCTTCAAATGTGCTCTGATATTACTTTCATTTCCTTAACTTCCCTATTTAAGAAATATCAAGTTATATTTACTTTATGTCTTAAGAGGGGTTCATCAGAAACAGACTCTGAGACTATGATTTGGATGCAAATTATTTATCTGTGTGGTGATCCCAGGGGATACTGATAGGAGAGTGGAGACTTAAGCACCCATTCGGGGTGAGGAGTAACCTACAGGTTATTGCTACAGGCAACTGGGGACTCGGAAGCCATGCAGGACTTACCTCAGAGTGGTTCTATGCAAAGAACAAGGGAGCTGGGGTCTTTATCCACAAACCTCTGCCAATTATTGCTTGGTGGCTGCTTCTAGACTGACTCTCAGGCATTCTAGTCTTCCCAGTGTGCTGGCTGATCATGCTGTTGGCCAAAGAGTACACGTAGGCAGAGTCACAGGTGCTGTCAAGGGAACAGAGAGTACTGAAGGAATATGGGTGGAGACTGGGATCAACGCTCTGGTTCTTTACCATCTCAGACTGTGTTATGATGGGTTCTTGCTTCTTTTTGTCACCTAGGTTGTGCGCACATCCAAAAGGCAGATATTTACTTCCTTATTGATGGGTCTGGCAGCATCAATCCAGAAGCTTTTCTTGACATGAAAGTGTTCATGAATGAAGTGATAAAGATGTTCCAGATTGGGCCTGACAGAGTACAGTTTGGAGTCATTCAGTACTCAGATGAAATTAAAAGTAAATTCGTCCTCAGCCAGTATCCCACTGTGGCAGAGCTGAAGGTAGCCATTGACAACATCCAGCAGGGGGGAGGTGGTACCACAACCGGTGAGGCCTTGAACTACATGACTCAAGTGTTTGCAGACACTGCCCGAATCAATGTCGCTCGATATCTTATAGTCATCACTGACGGTAAATCTTCAGACCCGGTGGCTGATGCTGCAGAAGGATTGAGGGCAAGTGGAATTATCATTTATGCCATTGGAGTAAGAGAAGCTAACATTGATGAGCTTAAGGAAATAGCTAAAGACAAGATTTTTTTTGTGTATGAGTTTGATTTACTGAAGGACATACAAAAAGAAGTGGTACGGGACATCTGCTCCTCAGAGGGTAAGACTTTTTCTTCTTCAATCTCCTTTCCCGCCTCTCTGAGAATATGTACCTGATCTATTTAAATGAGCTTCATTCTTTTACCCCTCTTTCCCCCCAACACAGGATCTCACGGTATTGTCCAGGCTGGTCTTGAACTCCTGGGCTCAAGCAATCCTCCTGCCTCGGCCTCCCAATAGTGCTAGGATTACAAGTGTGAGCCACCGTGCCCAGCCAGCTTCATTCTTTAATCATGGATTCACTGGTTGGCAACTTAGTATTGAACATTCAAAATGACCATAACCTAGAATGAAGCGAGATGGTCAAGTTTTATATATTTATCATACAGCTGTGTCTTATTTTGAGACTACTCCGTATTGTAGAGCAACTCTACTGGGTTGCAGAATATTTGCTTCATTGGATTCCTCTTCCACCTCTTTCTAAAATGTTTTCATGTTGTATATATGCCATTCCAGACTGTCCCTTTGAGCTTGTAATTAATTGGCTTCAGATTATTTTTTTTTCCAGATTCCTAATGAATGTTCTATTCTGCTTCCTTTTTCCCCAGCCTGTAAGAATAGTAAAGCTGACATTGTCTTCCTGATAGATGGTTCAGAATCTATCTCCCCAGAAGACTTTGAAAGGATGAAAATATTTGTGGAGAGTATGGTGAACCAATCTAATATTGGTGCTGATGGAATTCAAATTGGCCTTTTGCAGTTCAGCTCAACACCACAGGAAGAATTCAGGCTCAACCAATACTCCTCAAAGGTGGACATTTATAATGCCATCTTTGATGTTCAGCAGATGCGTGATGGCACCCGCACTGGGAAAGCTCTGAATTTCACTCTGCCTTTTTTTGACAGTTCAAAAGGAGGGAGACCCAGTGTTCAACAATATCTGATTGTGATCACCGATGGGGTTGCCCAGGATAATGTAATTATACCAGCCAAAGCCCTCAGGGACAAAAACATAATTATTTTTGCCATTGGGGTGGGAGAAGCCAAAAAATCGCAGCTTTTGGAGATCACTAATGATGAGGACAAAGTGTACTATGATGTAGATTTTGAGGTCCTGCAGAACCTGGAAAAGGAAATTCTTTCTAAGGTCTGTGATCCACAAGGTGAGTGACAGAGAATTGTTATTTGATCCACAAGCTCATCGTAGGTAT